GAGTTATTATTTGCCCCACAGACCTGTTATAAAGCATACTAGCCAGACAATGAAGGTAAGGCCAGTGTTCGACGCTTCAGCCCAAGAGAGAAATTTACCATCTCTAAATGATTGCTTAAATAGAGGGCCAAATTTAATTGAACTCATATCTGATATAATTGACAGGTTTAGATTGTATTCCATTGGTGTATCATTGGACATTGAGAAAGTGTTTCTTTAGCTGAGTATTATCCCAGAGCATAGAGATTATTTGAGGTTTTTTTCTTCCAACTCTTGAAGAACCTATGATTTACAGACACTGCAGAGTGGTGTTCGGCATTTGTTCATCTTCATTCCAACTCTCTGCATCGATAGAGCATCTCTTGGATAATTCCCCTGCCGAGTTCGACGATGTGACCCAAAAATTAAAGCATTCATTTTATGTTGACAATTGTGTCACTGGGGTTCCCGATATCAAACAGAAAGAAACTTCTTATAGTTAAGGCTACAGAAGCAATGGCTCGGGGATGTTTTAACCTACGGGGTTGGGAAAGTAATGTTCCAAGTCATTGTATTTCCCGTAGTTCAGGTATAACTTCTCTTTCTTGGAATCTTATGGGATTTGGATAACGGTACATTAAAATGTAATCTTAATTATTCAATGGATAATGAGATACGTAAAACGTAATATTTTGGCTATGGTACATAAAATTTTTGATCTGCAGGGTTTTTTTGAGTGCCAACTACCTTGTTACCTAAGTTACTATCACAGGAGGGTTGGAGTATGAAATTAAAATGGGATGACCCTCTGCCAGACAACATTCAGAAAACTTTTCAGAAGTGGCAGGATGAAATTAAATATCTTGAGAAAATTAGTATTCCATGATATGTAGAGATAAATGAAAATTCAGAGCTGCATCTATTCGTTGATGCATCTAAGAGCTCCTATGGTGCATGTGTCTACATTAGAACTGTAACGCCCGTGGGAGTCAAAATTCGATTGATCTGATCCAAATCCAGGGTAGCGCCATTCAAATCTCTGACAATACCCTGGTTAGAATTGATGATCTACTGTATTGGCCCCGAGACTGGTACACTCAGTATATGCCGCCTTAGATTTGCCTAATTTGAAAATTATTGCATGGAGTGATTCTATGGTAGCACTCTAGTGGATTCTATGGTAGAACTCTAGTGTAACCTTAAATCAGTTGAAGAGGAAATACCTTCGTATGCAATTAGGTTTCTGAATTTTCAATCCATCGTACGTTTAGTCCCATAGATATTGATGTTTGTGAAAAACGCAAAAAGTAAACATGCATTTCAAGAAACTGGAGATTTAACCGTTCATGAGATGAAATATGCTGAAAAAACTCTTATAAAAATTGTACAAAATAAGTATTTTCCCTCCGCCAACTCTATTTCCAATATGAGTGTCATTTCAGACAGAGAGGGTATAAAAAAGGGTGAAAACGTGCATTACAGAGTGATCAGATGACCCTGAATTTATTTGTCCAATTATTTTACCAGATCGTTGCATTTTCATTCAACATCTGATAGAATATTATCATTTACAAAATTGTCACACTGGAACCCAAATATTACTCGGAATATTAAGGGAGCGATTTTGGATAGTGAGAGGCAGAAGAGTGGTCAGGAAAGTCCTAAAAAATTGTGTAAGATGCAATCCATACAAGGCCAAGTTTCCCGGTTGCGAGCTGGTGTCGCTACCAGGCGATCGTGTCAATGACGCAGCGGTGTTCGAGGTAGTAAGAATTGATTTGGCAGGACCCTTGTATGTGAAGGGAGGTGAAAAAGTTTGGATTGTTTTGTTCACATGTGCAATATATAGAGCCGTTCATTTGGAATTGACTTTTTCATTGTCTGCTGACGCATTCTTGTTGTCGTTGAGACGATTCCTAACCAGAAGGGGGAGACCGAGAATAATTTATTCCGACAACGAAACTAATTTCAGAGGAGCACAAATAGAACTAGTAACATCGATTGGGAACTATTTTTGAGGAAACCGGCTATACAACACATAATATGGAAGTTTAATCCTCCCACAGCTACTTGGTGGAGAGGCCTGGTGGGAGAGGTTAGTTCGCGTAGTAAAGGAACTGTTGAGAAAGACACTTGGTAATGCGGTTCTTAAAACCGAGGAATTGTACACAGTATTGTACGACTGCGAGTCAATAAATAACTCTAGACCTCTTACCTATCTGTCCAAAAATCCAGATGATTTAATCTCACTTTCCCCAGCCATACTTCTCATTGAAAATCATAGCTTAGGTGTTCCCAATGTTGATTTCTGCGATTCAAAAGGTTTTTGAAAAAGGGCTAGACATCACCAAAAACTGCTTAATGATTTAAGGCATAGATTTAGGCCTTCTGGTACAAAATAAGAAGGGTCCATCATCAGAGCTACGGCTGGGTGAAATTGTCCTAATAGGAGATGACATCAAAAAACGGATGCATTGGCCTTTAGCTAAGGTCATTTGACTAATTCCTGGGAAAGATGGCAAGGTGAGAACTGTAGAACTGACGACTCAAGCTGGTTTGCTGCTTCGTCCCATTCAGCGAGTCTTTCCATTGGAAGTGCAGTTAACGGACACACCCACCGATCCCATACATGATAACTCTTTTACTAATCATATTTCTTCTATTTCTAGTGATGAGCATTCAGATTCTAATGACTCTAGTAACATCCTGTAAGGTGCTAAGTGTCAAGATTTGGACATGTGATCAAGGTGCCTCAGAGATTAGATCTCTTCGACCAGGTACTATATGTCATTGAGCCAACCTGAAGTCGACTCAAAGAGGGGGGAGAATGTAGGAGACGGCTGCTGCAGACAGACGATTATGCAACGGCTGGGCGAAGTCGACAGAAGGAGCGCCGCATTTAATTGGACTATTTTTTCTTCTTTTTTTTTTCTTTAACTGCAAACTAAGCGGGGAAATTCCCTTTTCGCTCAGTTATATGTATGCACATGATAGAGTAATGTCACATTTTCCGCTTGTGTGAAATATCCATATTAAAATCTTTATATTAATAATCCCTGCTGTGATTATTTAATTTGTAACCTGCACGTTGTAGCCCTGAGAGTTGCAACAGTAATATTCAAAACATGTCATTTCTTGTGAAACAATTTGTGGTACTTTCTAACAGGTTAAAGTTCCTTATAAAGGACAAGTTGGCAAATCTGCTGATCTTTTCATCTATTGTTACTCGGCAAACGTTAACAATATATCTATAGAAAGTAATGAAAAATACAATTTACAATGAACACAACAAAAGCAATTAAAAATACCAATTAAATTATAAAAATGATACAATATGCAAACACTATTACTTCTTTCCTCTCCATATACACAGCAATCTATTTTCACTTTAAAAACATCAGAGAGCTGCACACTCAGCATTGTGCACATTAAATTCCATATATACCATATTATACATTAGTGACTTTCTTTCTGTGTATACAATGGTATTTTTTTCCTTGAAAGACATCAGAGAATTGCAGAAAGTTAGCATTGCCCACTTTAAATATTGTATATATTATGACACATTATGGCTTTTCTCTTCATGTATACAGCAATCTGTTTTCTTTTAAAAATACATCAGAGATATGTACATACTCAGTATTGTGCACTTACTAAGATTGATTATAAATTATTAAATAAGGATTATATGATACCTAAAAAAATAAAACCCTTACCTTGAGAAATTAATTACCGGATGAAGGAAAAACTTTCTTTGTGGCCTCTATAAATAACAAACTGTTGTTGAAGATACATTTAACAGTTTCATGTACAGTTTTTTTAATAGAACTCCACAAACATTAAATAAGAGCTGTGTGTACACCAGAAACATGGTCTTTAAATGATACACTAAGGTTCACTGAAAGATGTATATATCCTTCATCTTTAAGACAATTAGAGCCTTACAGCAGTCTGAAATAATAACTGATACCCAGTTTATATATCTTTTAATAACTTTTAGCAGAACTTCCTTAGTTCTCTCCTCAACAACTTCAATATACATATATCAGACATCTTTTAAACTCCTTCAAACACTCTAGTAGCATTCCCTGTGTTCCTATAATTATACTTATGCTTCTTGAACTTACTCAATTATAACAGGACCCCTAATCATGCTATTTTTGAACACACACATCTTCTCACTTACTTCACTACAGAAATTCATCTAATCTATGACACATATTCTCCCACACTTGTACAGTATTAAACAAGTTCTTGTATAGTCTTAAGACTTCCAAGACAGAACTACCCATAGTCCATTAAATTCTGTTAGTAATTCAATTTTTACTGTTTATCTGCACTCCATCATAAAGTCACAAAAAGTATTCACGAGGCAAAGCAATATGTTGTCAAAATAGTTCATGGCAACCCACAATGTTGCCAAAAATTATTTATGTGACAGCTAAAGGTATGCAAGTAGCATATCTGTTTTGACTGATGTACAAAGCTGATGTTGTAAGCTAAGTTTGTACAATTCTCTTATGTGTTTCTAAGTGAAAACAGACTGCTGCGGATACAGGGAGAATCAAAAAGGCAAAAAAGGATTTCTTGGAAAAGGTTAGTGTTTCACTACTGATGTTTCTTACTTTTTTTAATTTTATTGATTGACTGTTCTTGTATAGAATTTTTAATTCACAAACACTTTGAAAATGACAGTTGCCTTTCATGTATTAGCTTGGTGAAAAAATTAGTCGCCAACAAGTTCACAACTTTTGGTGGCAATGTAGACATTCAGAAAGTATCAAATTTGTTTTGGATGACTGAAAACTTAGTATCCCCCTGGATTATTCAAACAGCTTCAGTAAAAGATTTAAACTGATATTGTATACTTTTTCAAATGAATTCAAATGAATGTCAGAAGACTTACTCTGTTATTCTATCAACTATTATTATTAGTCAAGACCACATACATTGAATTGTATGGATTAGTTAAACAATTTTTTAAAGTAAAAATACTATATTATATAAATAAACTGTTTTACCTTCCTTGGCAGCAGTATAAATTGTTCCAGGCAATTTTGGATGAGGATCAGCAGTTTTTGCTGCAATAACGACATTAGCACCATCTCTTGCTGCTTTCAGAGCTATTGCTTTTCCTATTCCTCTGCTTGCTCCAGTAACAAATATTGTTTTCCCAGCTAACTTCCTTTTTGGAAAAATGTAAAAAAAAAAAATTAGATTTTCATACTGTAGTTTATAAATACTGAATGATAAAGGTTATAACACAAGAATGTCCTCATAAGTTTTGAAATTTTATGTAGTAACGAAATGGATACACTGATTTCAAAAGAAAATATATATATACATAGTCACTACATAAAATTTTATTTAACTGCACATCAACATATTTGATTATTACTCAAAATGTAAATATCATACATAAATAATTCCAATAACAATTTATCAATCAAACATTATTTCAGAAGTATTACTGCTAGGCATTTTAAAGATCATGTTTTTAAATTGAACAAATTTTTGGCTATCCATTCAAAGCTGCTAAATCTTTAAATTTTAATTGACATGATATTCAGGTAGATTAATTTCATTTTATAGCATATTTCTGATTTTGGATTCATTTACAGATGCAGAGATCATAAAAATTACAATCTTAGTAAATGCAGTATGATAACACTACTTCGCAGTTAAACATTACAGCCATAATGTTAATTCACTTAGACAGCATTTAATGTGAAATTTTACTATTCAGTATGATTATGTTCTGGTGCCATTTTATGACCATTGTTATTTTACAGTACCGCTTAACCCATATTTTCCATTAGTAGTAGAGATACTGTGGTACACATTCTTTTAAATCAAAAAACATCTAAATTGCACAGCAGCAATCATGACAAACTTTTTTAAGCTCTGATATTATATGCAATTTCTTCCCTAAACTTGTTATTGGCAAAAATCTATTTACGGGTGACCTTTGGCGATAATTGGCGGTACACGGACACCGAGTTTTTGCAATTGTTCGGCTTGTTATTTTGGCTTTGTGTAGCGGCGGCGATTTTTTTTGGGGGAAAATCCTACACAAGTCAAAGAATTGCACAAAATCAGTATCCATGTATACATTGATGTATTTACACTTAAAAAAACATCAGAGAATTGCACAAACTAGGCATTGTGCACTCCCTTGACTTTGTCCATGTACACATAGATCTATATTCACTTAAAAAGTAAAAGAAGAAGCCAATAAAAAAATATATAATTTCAATACACTACATATCTGAACTAGAATCTGTATATAAATTCACAAAAATAAGAGTAAAAAATATCCCTCGTAGTGCTGATATCGTCCGACGTTCAACTATACACATTTCCTTCCTACAAACAGGACACTTAATAATGGCTATTAAGTAAACCTTCATTTACACACCAGTCAGTTAATGCTTTTTTTCCCGTTCATTCTAAATCGTACGGAAACTTCAAATTAATCTTACCACATTCAGCCATTTTATCAGTGTAAACCACAAAATAACAATGTACTTCTTATGCAAAACCGAACGCACAAATAAGCCTTTCCATATTTTTTCCCATCATTCAAATTCAACGTAATCATCATTCAAATTCAACCAATTACATCATAATAGGGTTTCCATTAACATTCAACTACTTGGATGTACCATAAATGAAACAACAACTTGGCGATAAATGAAACCACAACTTAGCGATAATCCAAGGGGCATCCATAAATCTACTCTAACCTTGTTATTCTGTAAAAAAAGGTAAATTTTTTAATCTCATTATCATCATTTATTAAAACGGATTTCCATAAAAATGGTTAGGCTTAGCATTTTACAATACAGTGCAAGAGCATGCCAAATGACGTGGTGTTTTTAACAAATTTTGCAGTCATTAGTCTTATTAGAATATTTTTAATAACATGAATACCTTTTTAAAGTAATTTCAACAAAGAGCAAAATTTTAGACAATAACTTAATACTAATATAAGAAATGCTAGAAAGAAGGAATTCACATATTTTCTGAACTACATTAATTATAATATGCTTTCCAGACGCTTTCATGGTGTAGCATGCTTGGGAGATCTGGAGTTCGAATCTCAGCAAGGGCAATGCGGATTTCTTCAGTTTCTCAGCATAAAAATATTCTAAAAGACTCTACAAGTAGTGCCCAAACAGAGACTTATACAGTCAAAAGTCGTTAATTCGGACACCCATAATCCGGACCTCAAAGCTAAAAAATTTCTGCGCATGCGCCGCGTTGACACATGCGCATAGGCGTTTACGTGTGCCCGTAAGACCTTTACGACTGCGCATAGGCGTTTACGTGTGCCCGTAAGACCTTTACGACTGCGCCATCATGTGCCCAGAAACGTTAGTAAAACTTAAGATCCTTACAGTTTTAGGTCTGAAAACGAACACAAAGTTATGGCTTCTGGCTGTCCGACAACCAGATGAGGAAGCCTATTCTGCGATCACTAGATCTCAACTATTACAGCGCGAAAAATATTGGCTCAAAAAACCGGTATCGTCTACCGCCTCCAACTTTACTGAGAAACCCATTTTGCGTTCCTCGGTTGAGTCTATTTAATTTCATTGAGACAAGTCTTCAAGCAGCTTTATACCAATCTTAGTGCAGACAAATGATGTAATTTATAACCTGCGGCGACTAAGTTCTAGGAATATGTATTTAAGCTCGCAGCGGCCGAAAGTATAGGAACATTTTTCTCCCATTGTTTCGCTATGGGCAGATCAGTGGCGTAGCTAGAGCTTTTGTCGCTCGTGGCGGTCTCTGAATTTAACGCCCCTCTTGATATACAAACAACTAACTAAAAAGATGCCAAAGTAACATACAGAAAAATAAATTTACGTTTTTTATGAAGAAAATTTAAATCCGACATTTTAAAATTATAGCATTATTTTTCTTGGGATTTGTTTCAAAACCTGGATGATATCGCAGAAGTCTACTTGATTGCTCCAGATTCTGTAATATAGACAGAAAGATTTCTTAAATGCATAAGCATAGATAGCTCTTAAATACATCTTAAATGCGAAATAAACATTTGCTGTTTTAAAATACTTTCTAAATGATATTAATACAACTCTTCTCAAAACCAACAGCGCTTATGGTAATTGTAGGACAAGGTAGCAGTAGTATTGCAATATTTTGAACTTTATTCTGAAGATTGTATTTTAGAATCAACTGCAAATATTCAAAAAGACCGTCCTTTCATGTAAGATGAGAAAGTGCTGTGCTAGCAGTAGGCTGATTGACTACCAGACAAAATTCATTTGCTGTGGACTACTTTAGTCAATACTGATATGATCCACAAGCAAAAAAATCTTAAGGAACAAAGTACTTGAAATTATGAAAATTATGTATTATTTATGAAAACGTTAAACAAAATTAGAAATTATGGTTTTAAGGTATTTTCAGTTGGCATTTTTGGTGTATTTATAAGCGTATATTATTTAAAAGTCCAATGAATTTAAGTTGATACTGTAGGAGATTGACATGTTATACGTAAATTAAATCAAAGAAATTTTTTGTACGCCATATTGTGCGTATGGTCTTATGTATTAATAGTACTAAAGAATTATTGCATCCCCTTATACTTGGTGTAAGTAGTTATCGTGGATACGTGGTTTGTAATTCCATCATAGTTACAGCTTCTGTTGGTTCGTCTTTTAGAGAGTGAAATTTTGATTCTTATTGGTATACGTCAGGGATGGCCAAACTTCAAGACAATGGGAGCGGCATAATAGATTTTATGAACGTTCGAGAGCCGCAAGTCCAAATTTATATCGTTTAAAAACTAATGAGACAGATTTTGAATACAAAGAAATTTTTAAATAAATTAATGAATATGTGATTAACGTGATTATACATAAATATAAAAAAATACATCTTATATCTACAGTTTTGTGTTCTTTTTTAACTCATAAGCAGTCTTTTAGAAATGACAAATTCAATGATACATGTCAACGCACATTAAAGAGAAACTGTTATTCGAGAAAGAATATTTATTTAAAAAGTAGCTATTAGCTTGTTTAGGCTTTTGCTTACTAAGTAATTTTGTTTTTCACACAATTAACCAGGAGTACCAACATACTGAGATCATTCGAACTTTTGAATCCTAACCTAAGATATCTTTAAACTTTTTCCCCCAAAACTTCGGAATAACTACTTTTACTGATGCCCAGTATAAAAGTCACCCAAAAAAAAAAAAAAAATATGATTGTAATTTCAGTGGTATTTGAATAATCAGTATCTCTCCTGACGGCCTTGACTGATACATTTCAGCGTGGCATCCAATGGAATCTGCCAGATATTTTTAGTAATCAGTACCTGCGCATCATTGAAAATTCTCAAAACTATCTCTCGAATCGTGCCGATAATTTTGGACATAGATAACGAAGTATAAGCGCATCATTAAAAATTCTCGAAATTGTATCTCGAATCATTCTGATAATTTTGAACATAGATAAGGAAGTTCAAGCGCATCATTGAAAATTCTTGAAACTAATTCTAGAAACGTCCTGATGATTTTGGACATAGATTATAAGGTATTTTCTCCCTCTCTTCTGCATGCTTTCGCAGTGTTACGGTAGCATACTCGGCGCGTATTCGAGAGGTCCAGTTTCGAGTCCCAGCGAGGGCATTGCTCATTTTTTACGTCTCCAACTTAAAATAACCTAATGTATCAATGTAACATTAGCGTTCGAACTAAAAAGGTGGTGGATGATTATTCTTCACTGTTAACCAGAGAACAGGGGCTCCATTACCTAGCTGACATGATGTCTGCTTACACGGATTAAAGCCCCTGCCTTCAGAAGCTATTTATTGTCACTAAGCAAAATAAGTTTACAGTGGCATACAAGGCCTTTAAGAACACAATGACATAAGTAACATAGTCATTAATAAACCCTAAAGAAAGCATGTTACAAGTAGTACCTATAGCATTCAACAATAAACCGAGTATACTTTCATAATTTGTATTGCAAATACGAAATACTTTTAAAACTGAGTCCAACTAATTTAAATAAAAAACTATGATACAAACAAAGAAACAAAATATAATACATCCATTACTGTATTATACACAATTAATTTCAATTAGATTCACAATATCAAGAAGAACCATTCAATTTAGAAAAAAATCATAAAGGTAAACTAAGACAA